GATTGCCAACCAGCTAATCTGAAGGTCACCAGAGACCGCACTCTTGAAGTTTTCGTCGAATTCGTGAGTGGTGGTTGTCTTTGAGTGTTATACTGCAGTAATCTCATTACGTCTTCATGCGTTGATTAGAATCCTGCCGCTGTTCCCGGCCCGTCCCAATACGGTGAGCTAGCATTGTTCGTCTCACGTCAGAGTATCTTTCTCACCACACTTCTACAGTTTCTCCACCTCCGCCGATCCCTTCCTCTGCAAGCATTTACAGTCCCAATCGGTCAGAGTTTGGTAACATCGAAAGTGTTAGTGTTCCCCGTAAGCGAAGACATTCGAATAGCTCTCGGTCATCAGTATCGTCTTCGAAGCATCGAACGCAAGGTCATGCAATAGAAGACCACGCCTCTCATCGATCGTCTCCGTTTACTAACCGGGCGCCTTCCGTTTCGCACTCTCAGGCTCCCGACCCGCCGATGTCTCCAACACCTGTAGCTTCGCATGATTCGCCTGGTTCTACTGGCTCAGTCACGTCCGCGCTAGCAGCTAACCGGCTCGCACAACAGTTGTCTTCGTACAACAAATCTCTTGAACAAGGCCCACCAAGAGAGTCACCAGGTTCCCGACATGGATCACCAATGTCAACTACGTCGTCTCCAGCACGATCGCCAGTTATGCCTGAGGCTCCAGTCCTTGCTCAGACTCAGAGCAGTCATCCATCGCAATCGCCCTTTACTGGTAGTCAGTCTGGTCACAATACACGTGAGCAAACTGCATCGCCCGCAATGCTTCATCCTGGTTCTTCGTTACCCAAGAAATCGAGGAAACCAAATGAAGCTTCTGCTAGATCTGCAGAGAGTGGGACGAGCCAATGGGGTTCTAGGGGTTCCTCTATAGGTTCCTCTACTGCGACTCCGGCATTGTCTGGTTTCGCAAAATTTACTGGAGGCCAGGCTTCCTTTGGTTCTTCCTCGGCTCAAGGAGGATCCCAGGCACCTGTGTGGCAACAACCTCCTCCTCCGACTAATTCTCAAGCAGGCCGAGATGTCCAAGTGGTCAATTGGCTCCGTGGTATCCTTCATGACGATCCATCATGGCATACCTATGTCGAGGTGAAAGATAGCCAACCACCCGTTCTTGAAATGCTACAGAAAGTGTTCGGATATGTTCAGCACCAGGTTGATACTTATGTTGATACCACTCCTCCGTCCGGTCTCGGTGACTTGAGAGATACAAAAATCACAAAGGTTAATTTATCCCGTATTTGTTTTTCTTCATGTGTGCTCATATTTTATCTAGACACATATTCTCAAAGTCTTCAATGTATCCGAGGACTGGTGGAAAGATCGACTGGAACTTTATGAACTCGCAAATCTATATGGTCCTAACGGATCTCGCTACCACGATGCTGACGCAATCAAACTGCTCACAGAGAAACCTTTGACTTCGACGACATCCTACGTCACTAGATGTCTCAAGCTCTTGCAAGAGGTTCACTCGAAATGGAATGCAAAACATCCTGGTGCTTGACCCAAGGCGCTCCCCAATCTACTACTTCATCTTCACGCTCATCTACGTCTACAGAAAATATGAAAAAAATCTTGCTTATGCTTTGTCGTCCTGTTGCGCTCAATTCTTTTGCTCTTTTCTTTGGAAGTTACCCGCATTAGCTGGCTACGTGCTCTTTGCTTTGCTATCACAATTGTTCTCAATACCGCGTCGCTCATTCGCTAACACAATTGTCTTCTGTATCCTTGTATCCCTTGCTGTTGTTGACCATTGACCATTCCTTGCTTTCGCTACTTATGAGGGGCATCCCTCAAAATAGCCTTCTTTTACGACTTTTACGAAATACGTTTGTAGCATGATCTATACACTGGTGTACGGTCCGTTGTCCGAGCTGTGAGTACTAGAGATAGGTCATACCCTTCTCCAACGACTATCGTCGTCCTCGTCGACATGACTATCACAGAGTACAAGTACCTATCCGCCAAGCAACGTGAACAATTCCTTGACCAAGGATGGGTACGCATTCCCAAGGCTGTCCCACCCGAGAACATCGCCCGCTTTACCGAAGACGTGTGGATCAGATTGGGGTACGATCCAAACGATAAGTCAACATGGACGCAGGAAAAGGTACGCTAACGAGTCATTGACCTTGCCTAGTGATTCGAATTCGAACTGAAAGGGAATCTCAAGATTCATATGCCTCGGCACCGTGAGATCATTACAAAGGATTTCATGCCCAAGGCTTGGGGTGCGATGTGTATGTGATTGTCGAACATTAGCCCGCGAGAGACCGTCTAACGGCGGAGTTGGCTTAGGTGAGCTGCTCGGTGGAGAGGATCGGATCGACAAGACGTTGTTTGAGAGCTGCGGGGATAGTCTTATTGTCAATCTGGGTTCTGAAGAATGGGTTAACGTATGTCGATAACACCTTCATGCTTCGTATATGACCGACTGAGACCTGTTGAATAGAAGGAGGTCCAGCCTAAAGATCTAGGAAATTGGCACATGTGGGTCTTTCAACAGAAGTTTAATAATTACTGATAATATTAACGTATTCGAAGCGATGGGGATTGGTAAGGTCCTGTTAAATTCTGTCTTCGAAAGGGGAGATAGAATTACTTTCAGGTTCACGCACTTCCTTGACTCTGGAGAACAAGGGCCTGACCGTGATTGTGTTATTCAACGATATCAAACCGCGCGCTGGAGGAACGTATATCGCACCAGACGGTATAGCCAATGTCGTAAAATGGTACGAAAAGGAGGTCCTTCCGTGGATTGCGCGTTGAGTTGGATTGTAGGCTTCGTGATCATCCCTGAAGGTGCAGGATGTCTTTGCACAAGATCCAGACGGCAGTCGTTCGGTCTGTACAATTCAAACATGCAACAACTTCATTGAGGTGCGCAGCCATGCATATTTCTAGAAATGAGACGTCAGGAGATAACACGCTACGGACAGCTCACCGGGGAAGCTGGAGATGTGATTCTCCTTCATCCGTTTATGGTTGGTGCCCCTTCTAAAGGACATAGGAATCTTGTTAATGTTTGAAATCCAGCCTCACTCTGCGTCAAAGAATCACTTGCGCGTCCCGAGGTTTATTACGAACCCACCTGTGACTCTGAAAGAGCCATTCAACTTGAATCGGGAAGATCCTAAAGACTATGTTAATATTCAAATAATACCGTGACGCTAAATACTGACCTACTTTTGTTAGAGCCTTGTCGAGCAAAAGATTCTCAATACGCTTGGAGTGACGTCTTTGCCGGACTGGCAGATCAAAGCAGAGCGCAAGCGTTTCACGCCTCGAACTCGTGCTGGCAAGGATATACTAATAATGGCCGAGGTTGAAAGAATGAAGGCTTATGCATTGAAGACTAGGAAACCCGTTGACAGTATGCATATCAACGGTCCCGTTCCGTACCAAGTTATCGTTTGAAGTACTAGTAGTAAGCCTGGGTCGTGGCCGACGGTCTGATTACTACCATGCAAATAAATCTTTACAAGTCCCGCATTTCATGGAGATAAGCGTACTTATCATGAGTAACCACAACGTTGGAGGTCCTTAATAAAACCCTACAATATTACAATCAAAGTTCTAAGTTACCACAGCGCTAAAATGGTGTTGTTCATGACTAAGAATCTCACCATCCTCACCAAATACAGCCATGGCTTACTACATTCGATGTCTCTTTATACCGTTTCTGATCTCCGCGAGCTATGAGTCCTCTAACGGAATCCATATTACTAAGACAAGTAGAATGAATTGCTTGTGAACTTCAGTCAGCTATAGCACGCCATCTTTGGACCAAATCTCGCATACCACGGTACTAGCAGGACCAGTTAAATAGGACTGTCGTCATAGACTGTATGCATCCCATCCATAAGTTACTCACAGACAGCTTCTCTCATACCTCTGGACATTAATCTAATATCAATTCGACCTCTTTGCGATGGCACAGACTAACACCGTTACCACCGACCTCATCTATTTCTCTCCCCCAACAGATGGCTCAAAGCCATTCACAAACATCAATGCTGATCCTGCGACAGGCGAACGGCCTCAGAATTGGACCCGCGTGCATCACACTGTCGACATCGAGGATCTCAGAGGCAAGGAGGACTCCGTTAGCCTCGATACCGCTGGATTTTACTACGGAAAGTCCGCGGCGACCCATACCGCGTTCACGAATGACGAGGAAATCGAGCGGGAATACTACCCAGAGAGTATAGACCTCGTCAAGAAGATTACCGGAGCCACTAGAATTGTTCCATTTGACCACAGTAAGCACTTTATCGTTTTATGCTGTAGCCGCCGTACACTAACGAAATCTGTATCCAGCCATTCGCCGACGCAGGCCGGGAGAAATCGACGACAGCCCTCAGAAGCGTCAACCCGTTCCCCAGGTTCACGTTGACCAGACTCCTGAGTCTTCCGTTGCTCGAGTTCATCGTCATCTTCCTGCTTCTGACGCTCCTGAACTCGTCAAACGTCGTTTCCAAATTATCAACCTTTGGCGTCCTATCAGCGTCCCTGCCTACGATTGGCCATTGGCTCTGTGCGACTTCAGGAGCATTGATACGAAGAAGGATTTGACTCCCGTCACGTTGCGATACCCCGACAGGGATGGTGAGACGTTCGGTGTCAGTTACAATCCCAACCACAGGTGGAAATATGTCAAGGGAATGACCCCTGATGAGTTTGTCCTCATCAAATGGTGAGCAATGAACCACTTTCAATGCATGAAGGTTACTAACAATTGAATAGCTTTGACTCACAAACTGATGGCAAGACGGCATTGCTAACTCCCCATACCGCATTCGCTGACCCAACTACTCCTCCCGAGGCCCCTCTTAGGGAATCAATTGAGTTGAGGTTGCTTGTGTTCTATGATTGATCCTGGTAGTGTAGTTTCTGAAGTGTGCTGTTGTAAGTACTGTAAATGCAATACTTGTCCTCTTTTCGTGGTTACGGTACGCAAAACATATGTCATACGTCACATGAATAAGGTGCTACCAGGGTTCGAACCTGGGTTTCGGGAAATTGAGCTGCAAATCAAAATCCCGAGTGATAACCACTACACTATAGCACCACAAACCCGATGAGGATGATGGTGGTGGATGTTCACAATTGGAATTGGAATAATAATATGGCTATGGCCCATCGCATGGTTCTTGAAGTTTGTGGCTTCAAACGAGAAGTTCAATGACACAAATTTCATGTAAATTCAGCTGCCCGTTCTTTCTGACGATGGTAAATTACTCTTGAAATTCTGGCTGAGCAGATGCCAGTATAGTAGTCACCGGCTACTAGTACTCGGGATTGTTCAGCGCGGGAGGGTTGGCTATCAGACTTACTCCACCGTGGCGACCAGTCGGTGAGCTCACTGCAATATTCTATAGGATCAGCGCAATATTTATACTCAAGCTTTAAGCAGGCTTTCTCCCTGCACCTTTCCGAGTCTCGACTCTCGAAAGTACTTTATCATGGGGTGGACACGTGTTTCCAGCGTGCAGGTCTTCCGAACGCTGCGGTGCAGAAGATCCTACAAGCGACATCCAAGCATATCATGACCTATATCATGGCATCACGGCAGCCTTGAGAGGTCAACGATACTAGGGTTGAAGCTTAAATTAACGGGAACCCTACTCCCAACCCTCAGCATGTCCCTTCAGGAAGTCCGTACACCTCTCAGTCATTTGAATTCGTTCAGGTAAGCTCTCTGTGCATAGATATGTTCCATATGGCTTTAATGGGCGTTTTGGCAGTGACTATGATACTCTCTCTGAAGTTAGGGAAGCAACAGATTCCCCTACACCGCTATCAGAGCTCCTTCATGATCCCATCGCCTTGAAGTCCCTAATTGGGCATAAAAAGGTCAGACGGGCCTCTGAGGCTGGGTCGTCTCGTGAAAGGAGCGAGAAGACCAGAGAAGGTCGCCGAAAGGAAAAGGACAGAGAGAAGGACTCGGACGCCACGAGCATCCTCACTCTCGTCCTCGCGGAAGAGGAACGTCAAGCCCACCACCTCAAAGCCCTCTTGCGTAACACTGGTGAAAGACTCGAAAGCGAAATGCGTCGCGCAGACTCTGCAGAAAAACGAGCTTTCGCCGCCGAAAGTCAAGCACGGGAAGTCATGACACGGCTCTCACGAGCTGAAACTACGCAACACAGCTCTGAACTGGAAGTTGTACGTTTACGAGAAGAGCTGGCCGGCTCCCGTGCACAGCTCGACTCTCTGGACCGTGAGCTCCGTCGCGCTCAAAATGACGTCGTGAGACTCGAACGTGCGAAGAGCGAGTCTGAACGTAACGCGGCTGAGGAACGAGACAATGCGCGTCGTGCTCAACATGCCCTCCGGGAGTGGCAAGCCAGGGAAGAAGGTCGTCAGGAAGGTCGCGAACTGGAGCTTATGCGTCGGTATAACGACGGACGCGATGATGGCTTTGAAGACGGCCGTAATGAAGGGTACGACGCCGGTCATACCGAAGGTTTCGATGAAGGTCATGAAGAGGGGTACGCTGAAGGTCGACAGGAAGGTTACAATGCCGGTCGCCTAGCGGGATTCGAGGAGGGTAAAAATGTTGGATGGAGTGAAGGATTCCAGGAGGGCTTAGATAGAGGTCGTAAGGAGGAACGCGAAAATGCTCTTAGAGCCTTCGACAAATTCGTTGCCGCGGAGTTTGAGAACAAGAGTGTCTCGAGCTACGTAGGTGTTGATTCTGCCCGTCGTTGACTTTTCCTAGAGCGATATGGCTAACCGTGGCTCCTTTTTTCTTACTTTCTATAGTCCGATGACCGTACCCGGGATTGGGTGCATACTATCCGTAGTAGAGCTCACTCCTTGGAGAGGTCATCTAGAGAATCACCATTCCATGGTCAAAATGATCCCTTGCCCGATGAGCCAACGATTACTGGCCACCATCCGCCAGCTCCTAGGAGAGACTTGCCACCTACACCCGGAAGCGTCCAAGGGTTAAACAACAACAACCAGGTTCCTGCTGATCCAGAGCCTTTCCTCCGACGTTCTGAGAGAGATCAGGAGCAATCGGCCGCAAGAGCACGTTCTCCCAGCGTACGATCTCAAAGAGGTGAAAGAGCTACATCTCCTATCCCCGCCTGGTTACATCGCCGTCCGAACACCACTGGTCAGGGTTCTCGTGCTATGTCACCTTTACCCCCACTGCCACTACAGTATTAATTTTCGCTTCGTTCTTTTTCATTCGTTTCGTTTTTCTTTCCTTCCTCTCCGTCGTCCGTCTAATAGTTTTCCATCCTTAGACCCCTTCGTCCGTGCAAGTCGCGTCTAGACTCCTCTCACCTCATCTCGACCCCACTGTATGCATATGTATGATCACAGTATCCACAACAAAACAAACACACACTTGTATATGTAACTGTATGTTATCATGTTTCTCTGTTACCCATTTCATATCGGGGACCTCATATTTGTACAAAATAGAAAGTAGTCGCACTCTCAGACCAATGACATAAACGTTCGTTCAGTTCGAGTCTTTTCTGTCTACGTATTCATTGTCGACCTATGCTAAGGTCATCCATTCACGACACTGCCGCTTGAGCCACCTCGCCTTCTTCGCATCCTTTCCTCCGGATTGGGGACCTCGTAATGCAGCCAGTCGCCTGGTCGCAAGCATACAAGTCTCACTCCGGAACTTGCCTCCGAGTCTCCTGCGAAGCTTCGCCTGCATGCTAATGTCAGTCCTCTAAACGTCCCGACGATGACAAATTTAAAGATCAAAGAAACGTACCGGTAGGAGCGACATATCGGGTTCCGGTACGAATGGGCGGACCCAATCAGAGGTTTGCTTCACATCAATTTCACCGAAATGTTCCAACCAGAGTTGCCAGAGACAGTCGTTCCAATCGGCTTCACGAGAAACGTACAAAAATGAGCGTTCGGTACACCACAGGGGATCATCTCGGTGGAGCATGATGGGTGATAACGGAGAGAAAGGGAAGCTTGATAGGGAGCGTATGGTGAAGAGGGTTGGTTTTGTACTGTTTTTAGCCGGTCCCGGCGTGTTGGAGAAGAACGACCGATGAAAGGTCTTTGGAGGGATAACGGAAAGATTTCCAGGGAACAAGATTACTTGAGGCGTAGGAGAGAGCAAGCGGGCTAAGTTCAAGTAGGCGTTGGGATTTTCGGGAGCATCTCGGTCTACTTGAAGGAGATGAACGGACAGCGTTTGGTTGAGCAATGAGGAACTTTGTAATTTGGATAGCGTGCGACGGAGTGTCTTCCATTCCTGAGAAGATGGTCCGAATTCCGTTGTAACAACGACAGACATGGGTTCTGAGAATTTGTTATCGTTGGAAGCGAGGCAGTACTGGGAATATTCAAACCTGTCCATCTTGATGCCCAGTTTGACAGACGGTCGAGGTCGTTATCTTTGGTCCATAAACAGGCGGTAGTACCATGATTGGCCTCGACGGCACTCGCTAACGCGTGTGGAAGGAGTGCTTTTGGTGGGGGTTGAATAGAGAAAAGCTTGGACATGAAGTGGTCGATCGGAAGGTTCTCAAGCAAAGGAGGACTTGGAGCTGAACGAAAGATTTCAGGATACAAGCGTTCCCAGATATTTATACTTACGAATATTGTTTTGTAGCGGGGTGCGATTATAGAGAGAAAATCCAGAGATATTGAAAGCGAATACAAGGGCACTCAGAGAACAGTAGACGAGCACACAAAGCGTTACCCTAGGATATTTAGACCAGGCTCGATTGAGGAAAGATATAAGTTCAACGACAAGTTTCCCGCGAGGCAAAGTGGGTTCTGACGCGATATTGTTGCTTTCTAGTTCATCTAGAGATGTAAACACGTTTTCCTCGATCTTTTCGGGGAAATATAAGTGACTGCGAAGACGTTGTTGAGATGAAGTAGCAGAGAGATGGCTCTGTACGCTGCCTAGAGAAGAGATACTACGAGAGCTGGAGCTAGAGCTAGAGCTTGACCTCGGGAATGGCTTTTCCATCATTTTCACAGAACTATAGGTTGGGCGGATTACGAGCAAGATGCGGTCGACTTTCAAAGAGGGTACGGTACTGGTCATGATAGTCTCAGCCAGTGACATCATGATCGCGTCCGTCACAGAATGTATTGTCACACAGTAACACAACTTGTCCAGAAGAGGAGCGTGACATTGCATCTCTATTCTGACATTCGTCTTGAGACGAAACAGTCCTGGCTAATACGATAAACAACCTGTGTGTTAAATGGCGATACGTCTAGTAACCTTCGATGCACTACACACCCTGATTAAACCTCGTTTGCCTATCCATGTGCAATACTCTCAAACCTTTGAGCCTTATCTCGGTGTTCTCGATCCCGGGGCTTTGCAACGGTCTTTCAAAACCGGTACAGAGCACTGTTTGTACTTTGTACTTGTCGAATATTGATGAGTCTCAGCTTTGAAGCAATTGCAGCGAAAGAAACCTGTCTATCAAGGTGGTAGTGATGAATGGTGGGGCGAGGTCATCAAACGGACCGCAATCGGCGCAGGTGCAGATCTAAGTGGTATGGACGAATTGAATGTTCATTCCAACACCCATCTCATTATTAATATCAAGATGTGAACGATTCGCTGGACCACATTGTTCCGCGACTCTTACATCGATTTAGTTCGAAAGAAGGTTATGAGCTTTATGACGATGCATTGCCCTGCTGTTAGTGAGGTTTTATTTATCTGTTGTAGCAAGAAGCTGAGATATACTCATATAGTGCAACATCTAAATCATCTGGGTATGAGGACGGGTCTTATAACCAACGCGGACCGACGAATGTGTATGTTATGCTCACATCGCATCTTTCCCATTAGACTTACTATCTGGGAACGCAGTGGCGGTCCTCGACGATTTGGACATTACCAAATACCTACAACCAATACTCATAAGTGAAATCGAAGAAGTCGAAAAGCCAAAGCGAGAGATATTCGCTCGTGCCGGCCGGTCAGTTGGCGAGCTCAAGGAAAACATACTTCACGTAGGAGACGAGTTGAAAGCGTGAGTGTATCCTTACAATAGAATAGATTCTCGCTCTAACTTGCAAAACAGTGATTATCATGGTGCACAGAAG